GCAGGCAGCAGCAGACACCAGCAGAGGCAGCAGCAGGCAGCAGCAGGCAGCGGCAAAGTTGCAATTTTTAAGTAGGGTTTCAGAAGTGACGCCCTTTTTTGGGGTTCCTTTGCTACGTTTTGAGGGCTGTTTGATTGCAGCAGCACCACAGCAGCACCACAGCAGCAGCAGCAGCAGCCAGCAGCAGCCAGCAGCAGCACCAGCAGCAGGCAGCAGCAGGGAGCAGCAGGCAGGCAGCCGCAGGCAGCCGCAGGCAGCTGCAGGCAGCAGCAGGCAGCAGCAGGCAGCAGCAGACACCAGCAGAGGCAGCAGCAGGCAGCGGCACAGCAGACACCAGCAGAGGCAGCAGCAGGCAGCAGCAGGCAGCAGCAAGCAGCAGCAGGCAGCGGCAGGCAGCGGCAAAGTTGCAATTTTATAGTGGGTTTCAGAAGTGACGTTAAGCCCTTTTTTGGGGTTCCTTTGCTACGTTTTGGGCACGAAATTAGGTGGTGTTTTGCTGTTTCGGATGTGTTTCGAAAAGGGTGTCTGGCTGTTTGTTTCTTGCTTTGGAGGCTGTTTGATTGCAGCAGCACCACAGCAGCAGCAGCAGCCACCAGCAGCACCAGCAGCAGGCAGCAGCAGGGAGCAGCAGGCAGGCAGCAGCAGGCAGCAGCAGGTAGCAGCAGGCAGCAGCAGGCAGCAGCAGACACCAGCAGAGGCAGCAGCAGGCAGCAGCAGGCAGCGGCAGGCAGCGGCAGGCAGCGGCAAAGTTGCAATTTTAAGTAGGGTTTCAGAAGTGACGTTAGGCCCTTTTTTGGGGTTCCTTTGCTACGTTTTGGGCACGAAATTAGGTGGTGTTTTGCTGTTTCGGATGTGTTTTGAAAAGGGTGTCTGGCTGTTTGTTTCTTGCTTTGGAGGCTGTTTGATTGCAGCAGCACCACAGCAGCACCACAGCAGCATCCACAGTATTCAGCAGTCAGCATCAGCCACCACACGCATCACCATCAGCAGCGTCACCAGGGAGGCAGTCAGGCAAGGAGCTGCGCAGCCCAGGCATCCGGCAGGCAGCTGCAGGCAGCAGCAGACACCAGCAGAGGCAGCAGCAGGCAGCAGCAGACACCAGCAGACACCAGCAGAGGCACCAGCAGGCAGCAGCAAGCAGCAGCAGGCAGCGGCAGGCAGCGGCAAAGTTGCAATTTTATAGTAGGGTTTCAGAAGTGACGTTAGGCCCTTTTTTGGGATTCCTTTGCTACGTTTTAGGCACGAAATTAGGTGGCGTTTTGCTGTTTCGGATGTGTTTCGAAAAGGGTGTCTGGCTGTTTGTTTCTTGCTTTGGAGGCTGTTTGATTGCAGCAGCACCACAGCAACACCACAGCAGCAGCAGCAGCCACCAGCAGCAGCACCAGCAGCAGGCAGCAGCAGGGAGCAGCAGGCAGGCAGCAGCAGGCAGCAGCAGGTAGCAGCAGGCAGCAGCAGACACCAGCAGAGGCAATAACGCGGCATACTGACCATTTTGAAAACAGTAGAGTCGGAAAATTGGCACTAGCAAACTGTCGGGTGGACCAATCCTGTAACTGTCTCGTGGTACATTCAAGTCAGTTGTACTTGCATCATGAACATATACATCAGCATTCACACTCTTGTAGCTGGTGCCCAGAAGAAAAAATATTGCGGCCGCAAGGTGGCTTTGCAAGTCGAAAGTCTGTGCTTCTGCCTCGTCCGGCTTTGGCTCCAATTTTAGATGTCTTTGGCATGATCTGCATAGTTGATGTCGTGCTTTCTGCGATGCCATCACAGAAGGTCCCATAGAAAGGTATCCATGAAAAAGCAAATTCAATAGCAATGCTTCAAGCCAGGGGATATCAAAACTAGAACCGCAAAGGCGCCATGCCAGCTTGGCAAATACTGCTTCTGCTCTTCGATCTACGTCTTTTTCTGTTCTGTCTATGTTGGCGCTTGTCCTCGTGCTGTCCGTCTCTACGGTTGGTTCAGTTTCACGCACAGTGGTTTGGCGCAACAGACTATCAAAATGATATCCCCTGCCTTGCACAGAGGTGTGATTGTATATATGCAGCTGTAAGGCATGATGCCCGGGGTGCTCGAACCCAAGATGGACAAGAATCTTGTTCCGATCTGGGTCTGCCGTGCACTCACCAAATCGGTCGTGCACACGAATTATCATGTTAGCGCGCGCAACAGCCCGAAATCGTTGCAACAGAAATGTCACAATGTGCGGGCCATCGCGGTGCGCATCTAAATATGGAAAGAATCCCTTCGCGCTTGGAAGTACTGCTTGCCCAACCGCTTGAACCAAATGCTTTCTGCATGCAACTGCACTGCGTCGTCTTGCTGCAACATCTGCGCCCAAGTTGCTTGGCAAAAGACCTTCATACGCTAAGCACAGCATCAAGGAATCGATTAGGCAATTGTTGACGCCGTGTGACAGCGCCTGCTGCCACCTGAACCCTTCAGCTGCCAAAGCCTTTAAAGCTTGGGTATCAGTCATGCTTCGGCCAGGAGCATTTACCTGCGCGATGTCACACAGACGGTCCGCAACTGCAACGCAGTGAGCCTCTGTCGTGCTTGTTTGCAATTCTTTCCAGCCATCCCAAGTGGGCACCCAACTCTGCCCAAGTACTTTTGCTGCGTCCTCTGCTGTTCCAAGTCTAGATAACAAGATTGCTGCGCTTCAAGGTGCGATACATTTCATTGCGTTACATTGCAATGCATTGCATTGCATTACATTGCATTGCATAACATTACATTGCCTTACATTGCGTTGCATTACACTTCATTGCATTGCTTTGCATTACCTTTCGTTGCTCTTCATTGCAATGCAGGGCATTGCATTGCATTACATTGCATAGCATTACATTGCATTACATGGCATTGCATTACATTTCACTGCATTGCATTGCATTGCATTTCATTGCTTTTCATTGCAATGCATTGCATTGCATTACATTGCTTGGCATTACATTGCATTACATTGCATTCAATTGCATTACATTGCATTCCATTACATTGCATTGCAGTACATTGCATTGCATTACATTGCATTGCATTGCATTACATTGCCTTACATTGCATTGCATTGCAGTACATTGCATGGCATTACATTGCATTGCATTGCATTTCATTGCATTGCATTACATTGCATTGCAGTGCAGTACATTGCATTGCACTACATTGCATTGCATTGCATTACATTGCATTCCATTACATTGCATTGCATTGCAGTACATTGCATTGCATTACCTTGCATTGCATTGCATTGCCTTGCATTGCATTGCAGTGCATTGCATTGCATTGAATTGCAGGCTTTCATTTATAGTTTCTTTAGGTCAATTTATGATTTCTTTAGGGTTCATTTTGTGTTTCATGTAGGGGTTTCTGGCAGCAATTCATTCGGGTTTCTTTCGGTTTCACAGTTTCACCTACGGTGTTTAAACTTTCATTTAAGATACAAACAGGAAAGAATAAAACAAAAAAAGTAGGATTTCAATTTCATGTAGGAATTCTCTTGATATTTACATCTCTTAAGGGTTTTATTTCGAGTTTCTTTTGCGTTTCTGTCGGGTTTCATGTAGGGTTTCATTTAGGGATTCTTTCCGATTTCCTTTCGCGTTTAATTTCGAGTGTTATGTGAATTTCTTATCAGAAAATCTTGTCAAGGTTTTCAAACATTCATGTGGGTTTCTTGAGAGTTTCTTTAGAGTTTCATTTCAGATTTCGTTCATGAGGGGTCAAAAAAACACGGGGGAAGTCAAACAAACAAGGTGGGGGATCAAAAAAAAACGCCCTCGTATACTTTCATAAAATATCATGCACCTGTGCGGCGCAACCATGCACCTGTGCGGCGCAACATTAGCTGTATAATAATAGGGCCAAAATATTGTGTATATATATATATAACTATTATACTGTTACTTAGATCCATGAACCCATAAAACCATAAGATCAGAGTATTAACATGCACTCAAATGAAAAACCCATTTACACATGAAAATTCAAACCTATCAAATATATTTCACAAGGATGTACATAGCAAAAAGGTCGAGAACCTCAAGGTGCAACGCACCGAAGCGTTTTTCTGCCAGCTTTGCTTCCTTGCCACTTCTTCCGGGGTCGGCGGCAGGGGCGGCAGCCCTTAAATAGTGTTGAATAATGTTGATAGTTCACTTAATCAAGATTTTTTAATGTAAGACTTATGATATATCATAGTATCAGTCAAGATCGCGTTCCCTCACCACATGAGCTGAGGACGCAGCCCGCCAAGACCTCCAGCACGTTGACCCAAAGTCACCTGATCATGCAACAACATCTCGAACACTTCAGAACAATTCGCGTCGGAACGTTGATATTTCAAGGATTTCAAAAAAAAAGCACAGTCTGATCAGTCTGGAATCTGGAAGTCGGTGAAAATCTCGGAAGTCGCAGCAATCGAGCTCCTCCAGGGACACCTTGCCTCCACATCTCGAGTCTCACCCACTGCAATCCCTTCAAGGCTGGCTTCCACCTCCAAGTTTCGGATACTCTGCCGATGAGTTGCTGGGTAGAATCTTCCCACGTAAAACGCAGAATCTTAAGTACTTTGAGAGCAAGTCTCAGAGTAAATCGCAGATAATGGCTGTACTCTCGCACTAAATACACTGAATACATCTAAATACATTCAGTACAGCCTGGTTTTCTGCTGCTTTCAGTGCTCTTTTCAGTGTGTCACAGAGTCCTTCCTGCCTTTCTGGAGAGTCCGCCAGCTCCCAACTCCACCTCCAGACCAGTTGCCTCAACGTTGACCCGCCCAGCTGGTGAGCCAATGGACGGGGTTGAACGGGTTGAACGGGTTGAACCGATTGTTTGATCATGTTTGATCGATTCAGTTCTGTTCAGTTTCTACATATTTCATCATTCTATACATTTCATCTCAGTTCATCACATTTCATCACATTTCCACATCGGTGTGCTGGTTTCAACATGTTTGGACATATTTGGATTCGCTCAGAGAAGCTTAGACTCAGCGGTGATGCAACGCGATGCAAAGCAGCTGTTGCAATGTGACTCCAGTGACGACGTGACGATCTCGGTAGGAGACAGATCCGATCTCCAGCGGCTCGCCCCGGGTTCCATCTGACTGGAGTTCGTAGCCCTGCATATCCACTGTGAGGACCTAAGAGCTCCCAACCCGCCATGTAAATAGGATGTCCATAGGACAAGTAAAGTATCAAAATAAATTACTTTACTTCGTGTGATCCCCACCATGACATTTATACATTTTGTTACTGGCAAATCTTCTGGCATTCTATCTGACATATCTTCTGGCATTCTATCTGGCATTCTATCTGGCATATCTTCTGGCATTCTATCTGGCATGTCTTCTGGCATATTATCTACTCAAATCTTCTGGCATTCTATCTGGCAAACATTCTGGCACTTTATCTGGCATATCTTCTGGCATTCTATCTGGCATTCTATCTGGCATATCTTCTGGCATATTATCTGGCATATTATCTGGCAAGTCTTCTGGCATTCTATCTGGCATTCTATCTGGCATTCTATCTGGCATATCTTCTGGCATTCTATCTGGCCGTTGAGGTCCAGCGGTACACACTGAGCTGGGCAGCTCGCAGGTTGAGGTCCTGCAGTGCACACTGAGCCGGGAAGTCGGCAAAGAGCTTGGCGCAGAGAGTCGGCGAAGAGAGTTGGCAAAGAGCTTGGCGAAGAGTTGGCAAGGCGGAAGTGGAGGTGGAAGTTGATGCAGACATCATGGTCGAGGAGAAACTAGAGGAGGAGGAGGACAGCTAGCCGAGGAGGAGGAGGAGGAGGAGAACAACTCTGATAAAATCTAACAACCCTCACCTGCCAGGTGGGGAATAAATGTCAATATTATATCAAGATTATATAGATGGATTAAAAGCCAGTTCTCCAATGCCATTCGTTCTTCCATAGGAGAATGGTTTCAACCTTCAGGTCTATCTTTGCAGATTGGCCTGTTTCAGAACAGCATTTGTGCATTCGTCATGCTACAACCCATATACCCACGCAGATCAAAGAGAAAGAACAGGGCAGCAGATTGCAATGCAGCACAATCAGCGCAGAAATAGAGAGCAATAAAAAAAGAGCGTTTTGTACCGTGCATTACCGTACTGACATTCGGAGGAAACCATCTCGGGTCAGAAAGCGAACTTTAAACCGCAAACATCTTTAAACCATGCTTCTTCCAGGCGCTAAGCCTGCTAAGCCTGCTAAGCCCTCTACATCGCCAAATGTTGCAGCCCTGCCTTAGAGCAAATCTCCATTGACTTTTCTGTCGATTCCAACTTGCAGCTGATTTCAACCCGAGCTGCGAACCTTCAACTGGTGCCAAGATCCGGTGAGACTTCTGCAAATGCTCAATCGTCTCTCCAACCAACTTTTCCTGGCTAGCGCATGCTAGTGCAAAAGGAGATTGCATTCCCAAAGCAGCTCTAGACTCTAGAGTAGCAGACTGTCAATGAATTTTGCAAACTGCAAATGTAGCTCATTGAAAGTCATAGTTTCAAACACGATAATTGGCGAAAAACAAAGCAGTAACCACCTGGAACCACAAACAAAGCACTCAAACATCTTTGGCACCTCTTCTTCCGACAAAATCTCCGGCATCTCAACCACTGCATGCGAGTAGTCAGCTGTTGCCTCTACCTCTTCCGCGCCGGTTTTCGCAGCAAAAGGAGAAGCGTTTACTTCGTCCGACTTCGTCCTCTGTTCAGAATTTGTGATGCAGCACTGGACAAACATCTTGCACTTGGCCAAATCACATCAAGAACAACTACCTGAGAGCCAGAAACAGAAGTCGAACGCTAAATGCAGTGGAAAAACTTCGAAGCAATGAAGCTCCCAGGTTCCCGTCACGTGTCAGTCTCTCCTATTGGCAATGAAGTTCCCATGTTCCTGTCCAATGATCCCTCTGAACCTCCGGTTCCATGACCGAAGCCCAGTTGATTCCAGGTGTCCTGATCCAAGTGCATCTCTCTGAGTAAAATTGTTCCATGTGGTTCAAAGCGACTGGATATGAGATCGGATATGATTGATACGTCCAGAAACATGATCAAATTTAGGCAGATGACTTGATATGTCCATCATGACTGGGATACGTGAGAAGGATTGAGAACCGGTCATATCCCTGTGGAGGAACCTTTTTTCCTAAGGCTCTGGCAACTTGTCAAGCTCACAAACGACGTAGTCCTTGCCATCTCCTGCTTCCTGCTCACAAGGACTCGTGAGGGGCACACTGACACCACATGCCGACAAAACTGTTTCCGACAGCAAACTTACGTAGGACAAAAGGATGTTCTCGCATTTGCTTCAAAATCAAAGCTTCAGCACCCAAAAAAACATTATCCCGGCAAGAGACCCCAAACAGTGTGGGGGAGTGGGAGGATAATGTATGACAATGTTGATCATGATGATGGTGATTTTTGATGATGATGAGGAGGACGATGATGGTGATGAGGATGATAATGTTGCGGACGATGATGCTGAGGATGATGATGTTGAGGATGATGAGGTGCAGGAGGAGGATGTTGAGGATGATGATGTTGAGGATGATGATGTTGAGGAGGATGAGGATGAGGATGATAATGCGGAAGATGAATTGGATGATGATAAGGTGGGGGCTGATGATGTGGAGAAGGAGGAAGATGATGATGTTGAGGAGGATAATGTGGAGAAGCATGATGAACAGGAAGATAACGAATGTTGATGTTGCGGAAGATGAGGTGGAGCTTGATGATGTCGAGGATCATGAGGTCAAAGAGGAGGGAGATGATGATGTTGAGGCCCAAGACAGGACCCACACTTTGCGCGAGCCTGCGCAGTCGACATGCACATCAACATCTCACAAGAGCCATTTCATACGGAAATTTACAGGAAAAATGCCGCGGCCCAGCTGGAGCACCCTGATCAAGCACCGGCCTTTACACTTACCGTAAGAACCCCTCAGTGTGGACAGACTGTTTGGGGAAAAACTCGCAAAACTCCCAAAATGTGCTTTCCCTGTCTTCTCAAAATCAAAGAAATCTGCACAGCTCCTCCACCATCCAAATCTGTTCTCCAGGTTTGATCTGATGCGCCAAACGCCCATTGAGAATGGCATTGCCATGCACAATCAACCTGGTAATCAGAGCCGCGTTCTTCAAAGACAGCCAAACGGAAAGTGGAGAAGACATGAGCAGACTCTGACTCTGAGAAGACTTTCTGAAGGATCAAGCAAGCAGCCAGATGGACAGAGAAGAAATTAAGACAGAAAGATAGATGGATATTTCAAATAATTTTAAATACACAAATCATGGATGGATCAGATTCCATCAGATTCAATGAGATCTCGATAAGAGCAAATAGATTTCCTGCCTGACAATGGTACCCTCCTGCTGAAGGTCAAGAGTCACCTTGGGATTTGCCGAAATATTTTAAAATTGTGTCTGATGAGCGTCCCTGAGACCCACTGAGTTGCTGGCGCTGGGTCCATCAGCTTCTGGCTCGACCTATCCACGTCGGGTGATGTTTCGCTCTATCTCGCTCTATCTTGCTATCCATCAGCAAGTTGGGGTCAGACCAAGTTGGGGCACCAAGTCGGACCAAGAGTGGCGGGGGACCTCCGGCAAACGGGTGAACAGGTAGAGCGTCTCGCTGGTCTGCACCTGGAGACACCAATACATCAAGACACATCAAGACACATCAAGATACAGTACCACGGAGACATCCTAGGTCCGTCTTTGGGTTTGAACCCGTTGCAACAGTTTCAACCAGTGTAACATTTTGGACTTTGCACTCAAACCTTGGGTGACTATGGAAACCTTGGGTTTTTGCTCTGCGCCAGTGCTCTTGAGATCTTCACCCAGGCATAGTTTGGTGCTCGACCAGCGTAGTACTCGCCTACGTCCTCGCAAGTGGCTAAGGTGCTCTTGAGCATCCCGAAATCATGTGTAATTTATGTAATACCAGTAGTACCGCACAAGGCGGTGGCGGAAGTTTCAAAAATAGGAAACCTATAGGAGATGTTGGTTGTTGTGAATCAGGGATGGCAGAGCGAAGCCACTGATTGACCGAAAGGTGGTTGGAGTTGTGTTGCTGGAGTGGTTGCAATGGTTGCAGTGGTCACCTCACCCACAACTGCTGGATGTAGTGTGATGTACTGCAACTGTAGTTGTAGTTGTAGCGTAGTGGAGTTGTAGTTGCGGTGTAATGTAATTAGTGTAGTGTAGTTGCAGTCATAAAGTTGTAGCTGTAGTTGTTTTGTAGTTGTAGTTGTAGTTGTTGTAGTTGTAGTTGTTGTTGTTGTAGTTGTAGCTGTAGTTGTTGTGTGGTTGTAGTTGTTG